GTGTCAGGAAAACTTGTCCAAAGAAATTCATGCTGCTAGCAGAGGAAACAAGCAGCAGGCAGAATTGACACTTAGTGCTCTTAATTGAGACAAGAACACACTATAGATGGATATGCTTTGTTCAAATTTCATGTCTGAGGTTTACGACTATAATAGTGTGGAAACCCCTGTTCTAGATAAAAAATGCACCATATTTTACCCATAAGAAGGTTGAATTACTAAAGACAAATAGACTTTTCACTTTGCAAGTGGATTTTCCTCAAAGCTTGATGAGTGATGAGTGAAAAATAGCAAAAATGCTATTTTTTTTATTTTCCTTGCATGTTATGGGTATTCGCAAAGTGAAATTTCACCACATTCACTTAGCTCTGGGGAAAATTCTCTTGCAAGTGAACAGCCTTTTTGCCCTTTAGTAAATCAACCCCAAGGTATCCACGTTAATCAATACCACCACAAGGGTCACTGTGAGTTCAATGTACTCTGAGAGGTCACAGGAGAAAAGGTCAGGTGTCTCCCGCTGTGACTGGAAAGCATTTTCTCCAATGCGCAAAATCACTTCCCAAAAATCTGTAAAACACAGTTCTTTTCCTGAGAAATACCCCCTTCATTGGGGTCCCTGACAGAAGCAGGGAGATGAGTCAGATGCTAAGCAATGTCTTCTTGGTTAACATTCATCAATAATGTATATTTATAGGTACAACTTTTTAAAGTTTTGGATAGAGTGGTAAGAGACTAAAACCCGACAAAATTACAGAATGGTTAAAACTTACATTTTGTCCAGACATGGGCTTTAAGGTTAGCATTTATATGATATTATTATTATTATTATACAGTATTTATAAAGTGCCAATAGTTCGCTCAGCGCTGTACATTACAAAGGGGGGCAGAACATGCGACAGTACAATAACAATACAATGCGATACACGAGGGGTTCGAGGGCCCTGCTCCTGGAGCTTACAATCTAGGAGGGAGGGGATAGTGGTACAGGAGGAAATAGCTGTGGGGGATGGAGTGGTAGGAAGAGTGGAGGAGGTCGGGAATTAGCAGGGGGTGGGGTAGGCTTCCCTGAGAGGAGAGTAGGTAATAGTCTGATGGGTTGGGGCAGGGAGTTCCAGAGCATGGGTGACGCCCTGGAGAAGTCCTGGAGGCGGGCATGAGAGGAGGAGACTAGGGAACTAGAGAGAAGGAGGTCTTGTGAGGAGCGGAGGGTGCGTTTTGGGTGGTATTTGGATATTAGGTCAGTGATGTAGTTTGGGGCAGTATTATGGACAGCTTTGTACGTCAGTGTTAGGATTTTGAATTTGATCCGCTGAGCAATCGGAAGCCAGTGGAGGGATTGGCAGAGGGGGGTGGCAGAAATGGAGCGGTTGGTAAGGTGGATGAGTCTGGCTGCCATATTCAGGATCGATTGAAGCGGGGATAGTCTGTGGTGAGGCAGGCCAGTGAGGAGGGAGTTGCAGTAATCGAGTCGTGATATGATGAGGGAGTGGATGAGCTGCTTAGTGGTTTCTGGGGTTAGGAAAATGAAAGTGAAGACATTGTTCATGCCACTTTTGTCTCTAATAATAAACCTGGTTGAATCTTGAGAGAGTTCACCAGGTGACCTATGTCAACTCCCAAGAAGCAGTCTCTTCATAATTTTGCTGCTATGGTGCTTAGGGCAATTCTTGACCACTCTCTTGCTTGATAGGCTCTAAAATAAATACCAACACATAGCACTGATGAAGCACGGTGAGGAATCTTCGGTTTTTGAAAGCCCAGGTGAGCATTTTTCGAGATGGAAGATTTGCAAGACTGTTTGACCACGCCAAAGACATTTATTCATCCTTGGAGAACTTTATTAGGAATTTCAGCAGCAATAAATTAAGGATTTAGGTCAAATGGAAAGCACAAATAGAAAAGCTGAAAAGCAAAACCGTTGTGTGACTTGCTGAATACATGCCAGCAAGGTTGCATTGAGTAAAGCCTAGTACACACTATGAGAAAGTCAAATGACCAGTCATTCGATTTTCCACGAAAATGTGTATCATGATAAAGTCAGAATGGTGTTGACTTGTAAGATCATTCTCGGCCGACAAAGGCAAACATAGGCAAAAATAGCTACGTACTAGTATATGATCTTTCTTTGCTTCTGAGCATGCGTGTTTTTATCTATTCAGTTATTTCTGTACACATTAAGCAAAAATTGGACATTATGTTCACGTACGAAAAAAACTTTCTAGCTTGCACCCTCAGTTTTCGTTGTCCGAAAAGTCAGAATTGGCTGTCGACAGCATCATACTAACAATCAGATAATTAGTCGATCGTTCCTCGTATGGAAATGTTCGTGTGATTTTCTTATTGTATGTATGGGCCATAAGACAGTCTTCAAGTTTACAAAGGGCAATATAACACAGCCGTGCATTACCTTTATCTTGAAGCTTGACTTGACCATGTATGTATGAATACAATTAACTAAGACAATCAAAAATAAAGATCTGTTTGCCTCTCAACGTAGGTATTTTAAAAGTAACAAAAGGTTAGTTCTCTTCTCAACGTTTCAAATGTCCATAGAAGGACACATTTTGATAAGTCATATGTAAGCACATAACTATTCACACACCACGTAATACCTCTTATTAGAATATCCAGGTTACTGTACACAGCTACAAAGCCACAAAATACTAAACAAACAAAAATGAGCCAAGAGGTCACTTCTGTGAGCATGCTGAAGGGTTTATTCATATCACTTTATCCACAAGAAATTAGACAGTATGGAAGGAATGAAACAAAATATAACTAGCTATGTATAGAAGACACCCAGGCCCTGGGGTAAATGTGATTCACTTCTATTTTGAACACCATGACTTGTTCCCCACTATAAATGCAACGGGCCAAGGACTATAGGGTAATACTAACTCTTTTATGGCTAGGACAGTTTATTCTCTTAGCATATTGCACAGCTTAAAATAAATACCAGTCTCTAAACATTGCTAGCCAAGAGCTTGAAACAAATGCGATGCCCAAAGCTTATCTTGGTGAGTAATGTGGGAGCAGCAAATTAAGCAGGAGAACCCTCAGTTTAGACATACCTTTGCCAGGCCGCAGTCCTAGATTACGCTACCTTACTAGGAAATGCAAGCTCTTAAGGGTGTCTGGAGTCTGTACTGTGGTCTCCTCCTGGCTGATGGTATCTCAAACATCTTCAGAGGGAACATCACTAGGGACCTTCATATGTAGACTATGTCTAATAGGAAGGGACAGATCCCATTCTTTAAAAGGTACCGCAGAGAAATTGTAAATGTTTTCAAGTGCCTAATTATTCCATCTCTAATCAGCAATGGCTCCACAAATTACAACTCCTATGATGAACAAGAAACTTGATACTCTGACTGCCAAAAATACACTATAGTGCCAAAAGTATTGGGACACTCCTCCAAGTTATTGGATTCAGGTGTTCCAATTACCTCCATGGCCACAGGTGTATAAAATCAAGCACCTAGGCATGCAGACTGCTTCTACAAACATTTGTGAAAGAATGGGTCACTATCAGGAGTTCAGTGAATTCAAGTGTGGTACCATGATAGGTTGCCACCTGTGCAATAAGTCCATCCGTGACAGTTCCCTAATACTAAATATTCCACGGTCAACTGTTAGTGGTATTGTAACAAAGTGGAAGCAGCTAGGAACAACAGCAAGTCAGTCACGAAGTGGTAGGAGTCAGCACATGCTGAAGCGCACAGTGCGCAGAAGTCGCCAACTGTCTGCAAGAGTCAATAGCTAAAGACCTCCAAACTTGGTGTGGCCTTCAGATTAGCACAACAAAAGTGCATAGAGAGCTTCATGGAATGGGTTTCCATGGCCGAGCAGCTGCATCCAAGCCTTACATCACCAAGTGCAATGCAAAGCATCGGACGCAGTGATGTAAAGTACGCTGTCACTGAACTCTAGAGCAGTGGAGACGTGTTCTCTGGAGTGATGAATCATGCTGTTGTCTGGCAATCCAATAGATGTGTCTGGGTTTGGTGGTTGCCAGGAGAACTTTACTTGCCTGACTGCATTGTGCCAAGTGTAAAGTTTGGTGGAGGGGGGATAATGGTGTGGGGTTGTTTTCACGGGTTGAGCTTGGCCCCTTAGTTCTGGTGAAGGGAATTCTTAAGGTAAAAACCAAGACATTTTGGACAATTTTTTCATGCTCCTAACTTTGTGGGAACAGTTTGGGGGTGGCCCCTACCTGTTCCAACATGACCAGTACACAAAGTGTGGTACCATGGTACCTGTGATAGGCTGCCACCTGTGCAATAAGTCCATCCTTTGAAATTTCTTTGTTACTAAATATTCCACAGTCATCTGTTAAAAAATGTAAATTATCTTTCTGGGTAGATTTGTGCAATAAACTTCTATTTGTGACCCATAAACTTTTTCAGGTGACCAGTTCATTGATGAGGCTGGTGAAATACTTGTTTAGTCCTTGAATATTTGACATTCCTCACATATATGCGGGATTTTATCTCAGAGTTCAAATTGGCAAACAAGTTTTCAATAATAATTAATACCCAACACACAAGAACAAGCAAGGGGGGAGGTGACATTGTGTGGTACTGATCACCTGAATCTCAAGTGGACAGACAAATTCCGACAAAATTCCAGAATAGCTGCTTGATGACCCCCACTAGGCAGGTCAAATATTCACCAAATTAATAAATAACTGGATTTAGCACAGTTCATAGCAAAGCAGGTAATGTAATAAGATTGAGACAGAAAGATTGTCTGCTTCCATCAGGGGTATTTTAAAAACACTACATTATAGACATATGGAAAATAATTATATGCTCAGTGTAGCAAGTGTAACTACACGCCGTTGGCCTCACTCACTGCTGTTCTCATGAATGGTGACAGAACATGCGGAGAGCTGTGGAAAAGGTATAGGGCAGTGGTCTCCAAATTGAGGCCCGAGGGCTGGATGTGGTCCTTTGCTAGCCTTTATCTGGTCCTTGGAGCATTATTCCTCTCAATGATATGCGGCACTATTCCTCTCACAGACACCAACAGTGGGGCATAATTCCTACCACTGACACTAATGATGGGTAATTATTCCTTCCACTAGTATCAATGATGGAGCACTATTCCTCCCACTAAAACCAATGACTGGGCATTATTCCTCCCACTGACACCAGTGACGAAACACTATTCCTCCCACTGACACCAAAGATGGGGCAATATTCCCCACACTGATACCAATGATGGGGCAGTATTCCCCACACTGATACCAATGATGGGGCACTATTCCTCCCACTGATAGCAATGATGGGGCACTATTCCTCCCACTGATAGCAATGATGGGGCATTATTCCTCCCACTCATAGCAATGATGGGGCACTACTCCTCTGACTACCGGCCCCCCAACCCTCAGGCCGTGTTTATTCTCACTGATGTGGGGTCCGAGACATTTTCTACCCTTACTGGCCACAATCAGCCCCCCTAAAGTCTTAAGGACATTAAACTGGCCCTTTGTTTGAGCAGTTTGAAGACCTCTGGTGTAGGTGAAGGAGCCTGCTTTTGGTCTCCTATCATTCTGTATAAGCCAATCTGTGGCAGACTCAGAGAAATTGATCCATAGCTCATTAATATCATAAGAGCAGTGTCAAGCAAGACTGTTAACACTGTGATCAAATCACTCAGAGGGGTGGCTCATTTGATAATAAGCATGTCATTATTTACCGTTCATCTTAGGATGGCCATAGACGAGTCGAAAACCGAACATTCTATCTATAGAAAAATTTAAATGGCGCATCCGATTGTGCCATCATTTGTTGTTTTTCTAAAAAAAAAATAAAGCATGCTAGGATCAGGCACTATCAACTGCAGCATAAAAATTGAGTGTTGAAGCTAGCACACTAATGATGCGAAAACTGAATCATCTAACAATCGACATGAATTTTCATTCGCTTTTTGACTCATCTATTGCCTGCTTAAGGGCTGCGTGGGGAATAAGTATGGTTTTCTGTCATCTGCACAGATATATTTCCAAATAGACACAAACCTTCCTACTTAGTGACTCCACTTTACTTTTTGCAAAATATCTTGTGCACCTCCCTGTGTAATCCCCCTGATGAAGCCATGTGACTGTAATCCCCCATGCCATGTGACCATGTGGCGTAACACGTAGGGGAGGGGCTAGATGACATCACGACACTCTGTACTGTGCATGAGGCTGTGTGGTAACTATACACTCGGGAAAGCTGATTGATACTGCTGCTGGATGTATACTATATACTGTACATGCTGGATAAGTCAGGTGTGCTTCAGCACCTGTCAAAAGTGAGTGTATATCTGGAAGGTTCGAGGAACAATAAATTGATTTAAAAGGAGAATGCACTATGGGAGAGATTTACTAAAACTGGTTCACCTGTACATGGTAGCCAACCATCTTCTAGCCTCAGCTTGTTCAATAAAACTTTGGCAATAAAACCAGGAAGCCAACTGGTTTCTATGCAGACCTGCACCTGATTTTGTATTCTCTAGCTTTAGTAAATAAACCCTATGTTTCTCCTTATGTGCGGCTGAGCGGAGGTATTGAGTGGAATATATACATGTAAAGGAACACACGGGAGATATTAAGGAGCATCTGCGAAGTTCATCTGTTTGGGAATGTTCCATTAAGTCCATATTCAGGGACGTAAGTGCTTAGTGGCCATACATAATTATACAGTCATATATCCCAGGTGAGAGCACATCTGGTGGAGTGTGTTCATGTCACTTAAAGTATCATTGGCACAGAGTGGTGGATTAATATAAGAAGTGATTGGAGAGGAAGTTCAACAATAATAGCACTGTGGACTGTGAATTTATTGCACATCAATGTAACATTGGAATTTTTTTGTTTATAATGTTTTTCATTATATTGCAATATATGTGGCAACATAATGTGAACCGTGGCACGGAATGGTTACAATCTTGAGCACCTGGTTTGAGAAGACTTATTTCCTATCCAAATGACCATACAGGAAGTAAGGGAAAATCTCACTAATGGGGAAAAGAGTATGGGTATGAGAGCTATGTTGGGTATGATGGGTATGAGAGCTATGTTGGGTATGATGGGTATGTTGGGATGCGTATGAGAGCTATGTTGGGAATGATGGGTATGTTGGGATGGGTATGAGAGCTATGTTGGATATGATAGGCATGTTGGGATGGGTATGAGAGCTATGTTAGGTATGAGAGCTACGTTGAGTATGATGGGTATGTTGGTATAGGTATTAGACCTATGTTGGGTATGATGGATATGTTGGGATGGGTATGAGAGCTATGTTGGATATGATAGGTATGTTGGAATGGGTATGAGAGCTACGTTGGGTATGAGAGCTACTTGGGTATGATGGGTATGTTGGTATGGGTATTAGAGCTATGTTGGGTATGATGGGTATGTTGGGATGGGTATGAGAGCTATGATGGATATGATAGGTATGTTAGGTATGAGAGTTTGGGATGGGTATGTTGGTATGGGAGAGCTATGTTGATGGGTGTGGGTATGAGCTATGAGGATATGATGTATGTTGGGATGGGCCAAGCTATGTTAGGTGTGAGAGCTATGTTCTGCCAAGCTGGACCAAGTATGCAATAAATATAACTGGAGTTCAGCTTTAATCCTTCCCTACTCTACACAAAAAAGTAACGTATTGGCTTTACATATGAGGAAACATGAAGACCTGACTGAGCTCACCAGGGAATCAGAGTTAAAAAAAGAGAAAACGTCTCCGGGTGAGATGCTCCTAGGATGACACGGATTGATGAAACCAATTTGAGCAGTGGTGATTCTATATGCTATCTTCAGTTCCTGGACATGTGGCAGTGGTTTTTCAGCTGCAGACAGGAGCCATGAATCATTGTTTGTAACAAATGTGCAATAATGGGTGGAGAAGTAGATGGGAAAGAAAGCCTCAGAGATCCATAACTCACCAGCACTGAGTTCTCCAGTGGAGACTGACCTACGAAACATGGCGGGGAGCGAGGATTTATGTTAAACATTACGGTTCAGGTTTAGGACACATTTAATGCATTATATGCAGCAATATTTTTATGGACTCCCCTCGCTGTAATGGATGTAACCTTTTACACTGAAATAAAGGATCTCAGATGGTCTAAGACATGACTCACACACTGCCAGTTTCCTGATGTATGGACAATGAACATGAGGCCGGAAACAAAGCTATTAAATTCTCTTTCATAACAGAACTGGCTGAAAGCCTGGTAATCCCTCTGGAATAATACAGCCCAGCCTACTGCTTACAAGGCTACTTATTGACTGATCAAAGGGAATCTATATTAATAGAAATAATATAATTAATATAAATAAATGCATCATTAAATGTATTTGTGTAAGTACCCGCATTTGCATTGATATCAGCCACTTTCAATCACCTGTACAGCAGAGCTTAGACTGGGCTAGGGAGAAGCTACACAAGGAACCAGTCAGCTGTATATTAGTTTCATCTACCTACCGGAAGCATGTTGATGGGAGGGGAGAGCCAAGTGTCAGAGTAATGGACTGGTCAGTCTGCTGCTTCTACCTTCACTGTCCAGTCAAAGGCTGGGGAGAGATGATGCAACCAAAGAACAATTTGCATCCACTGAGAAAATGCAAAGCATTCACTGAATAGTGCCCATGCTGAGCAGCCAACCTCCTGTGCTCAGAATGCATCATGCCAGCTGCTCAGCCTGGGGTTTGGAAGCAAATGGAGATTATGAAGTAACGGGGTCAACTTAAGTGATTTCCAGCTTCCAGGGGCATCAGCCACGTATGGTATAAACATCCAAATAAACAATCAAAACCAGCGCTCAAATCTTCATGCAGACTAGGATAAGCTGAGCTCTGAAGAAGGGAGTAAGTCTCCCAAAACGCGTTAGCCTACCTCACCAAGGGTCTACTGTCACTTTGGATCGTCATTACGGACTATTCTCTGTTTTTATCCCCCTGTGAGTATGCATTTTTAGGCTTTTAAATAAATTAATGTTTCACCACGGTAATGCACGAAGAGAGTGCGCCCTGTCTCGCTTTTGTTCATGGTATAAACATAGTCACATTGGTCCACGCTGGAACAATGTAACCATGTATAACACATCCATACCTGGAATTCTTCATTAACTGCAGCTGAGACAAATTAGGGCTTCCCCCCTGCTAGACAGGGCTGTACTGTGTGGCAGAACTGTGTAAATCTCAGGACTGGATAAATAGGTAAACAGCTCCCAAATGTATTACATTTGTTTACAGCCACCCGCATATATAGATATACATTGTGATTCAGTCTGGATCTGTCTAAAGAACTGACAGACAGACCCAGACTGAACACTAAAGTGAAGGGTCCCAACTGAAGTTCCATACCTCAGTACAGGGCTCAGCTAGAGGGAGAGTCTGCAGGACTCAGAGCATTACACATGCGACAACTAATCACAATTGCAATGTTTTACAGGTCCGAAATGCAAAAAAGTAGTAAATGCAAATGCACATTTTTTCTTTTTGCAATGGGTGCATTTGTTATTTATTTTTTAACAAAAGATGGAATTCTTCTTTAAACTTAAGACAAGAAAATGGTTTGAACAAGCCTAAGGTTTATATTGCTATTTGTGTGCCCTGAAAGTGAGGGACAGATAGCAATAAATACCTGACATCAAATTCTATCCATAATAAAAATAAAAAAATAAACTTTTTGGATGAAACACCACTTTTATGGCTGTTTTTTCTTTTGTTAGACATCTATAAAACACACACACATAAAACTTGCTGGTCAAGTCCAGATGCCTGTTGTACTGATAAGTCGCCAGCTGTGCAGCTATGATGACAGACTGCAGAAGCTGCTGAAATAGATTACTATGGGGAATGTTTTCTGTATATTTCTGGGAATTCGGCCCCCCCAAAAAATATTAAAATATAAACAATGTAACCATTTTCATTATTTTATTCCCATTTCTTCTATTCTTGATACATTTTTACATTTCTCCCTATAACAATTCCAATATTTCAGTTGAATCTGTCTTCAAATGGAAGTGAAGCCTGGAAACAATTTTTTCCTGAAGATTCTTCTGCCGAAAACTCTTTTACTTACCCGCCAGCAATTATTTTTAAGATCTGTCCACTGACTGAGGTGCAATGTTACAGATGCCGACATAATGTAACTGCAGGGCGCATGTGTGGGGTGACATCATTGATGCCTGCCCAATGGGTGAAGCATAAAGATGTCATGTCCAGATGAAGAAAAAGATACATGACACAGGTGGGGACAGAGTGGATGCAGGGTGCTCAGATCTGACATGACTGGAGGAGAGAAGACCTATAGGTAAGTGAAATAAAGAAGAGTGGTGCCGGTGATCCCTCTAGTGATAACTAAAGTTATATAGAGGAATCCAGATCTCCTTCCTCCTGGTGGTGATCCCTCTAGTAATAACTAAAGATCTGTATAGGAAATCAGGACTTTCTTCCTCCTGATAGTGATCCTTTTAGTCATAACAAAGGATCTATATTAGTGGTCTAAATTTTCTAAACAAAGGGCCTGTTTACTGTCCTTAAGACTATACCAGGGCTGGACTGTGGGAATTTGGAATAGAAAATATCTCAGGTTTGGTGGTCAGTGCAAATATCAAACAATTAGATAGCACCTGTGGTCAGAAGGAGGAGGAATAGTGCCTCATCATTGGTATAAGTGGAAGGACCAGTGCCCTATCATTGGAATCAGTGGGAGGAATAGTGTCCCATCATTGGTATCAGTGGGGAGGAATAGTGCCCCATCATTGGTATCAGTGGAAGGAATAGTGTCCCATCATTGGTACTGGCGGGTGGAATAGTGAACCATCATTGGTATCAGTGGGAGGAATAGTGCTCCATTATTGGTATCAGTGGGAGGAATAGTGCTCCATTATTGGTATCAGTGGGAGGAACAGTGTCCCATCATTGGTACTGGTGGGTGGAATAGTGAACCATCATTGGTATCAGTGGGAGGAATAGTGCTCCATTATTGGTACTGGTGGGTGGAATAGTGAACCATCATTGGTATCAGTGGGAGGAATAGTGTCCCATCATTGGTACTGGCGGGTGGAATAGTGAACCATCATTGGTATCAGTGGGAGGAATAGTGCTCCATTATTGGTATCAGTGGGAGGAATAGTGTCCCATCATTGGTATTGGGGGAGGGAGGAATAGTGCCCTGTGACGGAGGGTAGGCAGGACAGAACACACAGAGTAGATGGCAAACGCACAAAGCTTTATTGAGACAAAAAGGTGACAGTCACTCAATGGAGGGATTGCAGGGAGGGCGACTTCGCCAGTAAGGGGCAGCAAGCAGGGGCTAAAACACTTGTAGTCCAGAACCGAGAGCAAAGGAAAAGTCTCTGTAGCAGATTGTAATCCAACAAGGGGGGTAGGGGGTCATCACAGGAACAGTTCAGGTAAAAACAGGGGAATACATATGCTCACAGATCCAACAGGGTGCCTGGTCTCCCAGGGATAGAAAGTAAGACACAGGTACCTGTTGGGGTCCGGAATAGGTGGGTGGTCACTCCTTTTGGGCTGGGGTCTCAGGCAGCTGGCAGGCAATCTCCCCCCCTAGACTGGGGTCTCAGGCAGCTGGCAGGCAATCTCCCCCCTAGAATGGGGTCTCAGGCAGCTGGCAGGCAATCTCCCCCCTAGATGGGGTCTCAGGCAGCTGGCAGGCAATCTCCCCCCTAGACTGGGGTCTCAGGCAGCTGGCAGGCAATCTCCCCCCCTAGACTGGGGTCTCAGGCAGCTGGCAGGCAATCTCCCCCCTAGACTGGGGTCTCAGGCAGCTGGCAGGCAATCTCCCCCCTAGACTGGGGTCTCAGGCAGCTGGCAGGCAATCTCCCCCCTAGACTGGGGTCTCAGGCAGCTGGCAGGCAATCTCCCCCCTAGACTGGGGTCTCAGGCAGCTGGCAGGCAATCTCCCCCCTAGACTGGGGTCTCAGGCAGCTGGCAGGCAATCTACACCCTAGACTGGGGTCTCAGGCAGCTTGTAGGCAATCTCCCTAGGCTGGGGTCTCAGGCAGGGCTTGGATGCGGTTCCCCTCTTAGCTGGGGGTCTTGGCAAAGTCTAGCCACGAGGGTCCCACCACAGCTGGGCTCCCTCGGTGGCTGCACAGCGGAGAAGATGACCGAGCCCCTGGCATCAGCTTCTTAAGCGAATGCAGGACGCTCTCCAGTTGTCTTGGCAACCGGGGTGGGCCGGAGCTGGCATGCCTCGTCACCTGGCAACAAGGTACGCCCCCTGGACACGGCCCGCGCTTCTCGTGAGCGCGACCTTTGTCCAGGGACATCCGCAAGCGCGGGAACTTCCCGTGCCCACGCTGCGGATGACAGGGCTGGGGTGGCGTCAGTCTGACACTGCAGCCTGGAACATCCCCGCAGGAGGTTCGCACCTCTCCGCGGAGAGGTGTGAACCTCGCTACCCTCTCCGGCCGCGCGGACAGGGGTGGTAAAAGCCGCATCTCTCGTCTTCTGCGGCAGGATGAGAGGTGGAGGGGGGTCATTTGGCAATGGGGAGAGAAACAGGCTGGAGACAGGGGACAACAGTGAGGGGGCCAGGGTGACACTGGGCGCCTGGGGACATCAAGGGAACCTAGTGGAGAAAATAGTTTAATGAAATTTGTGGACATTTAGCAAGCTGGCAGGGAGGAGGAAACTACGGTAATTGAATTTGTGCCTAATCATTGGTATCAGTAGGAGGAATAGTGTCCCATGATTGGTATCAGTGGGAGGAATACTGCCCCATCATTGGTATCAGTGGGAGGAATACTGCCCCATCATTGGTATCAGTGGGAGGAAGAGTGCCTTATATCATTTGGAGGAATTGTGCCTTATATCAGTGAGTGGAACAGTGTCCCAAGGGCCAGGTAAGAGCAACATGATTTCTTGCACATTATTGCAAATGCTAACTGCCCTACCACCCTTTACTTCCGCTTTCAGGTTTAAAAATAATGCTCAATGTCAGTGCTCCCTGCATACATCGCATACAAGTGCCAGGGGTAGGTTGTGGAGATGGAGATGAAGGCTCACCAGTTGACTTTTTTTAAGTCTAAATTTGCATATCAGTAACAGTGCTGGTTAGTGTGCTTAGGTTGAGTGTAAAGAACGCATCTGAAACAGTTGATGGATCAGATAATGAAAGTGATACTATATGTGTATGCTTGGAGAATGGAAAGGCTCTCAAAAGTTTCTGAAAGGGCAAATAAATTGAGCTGTGACAGACCATACAAGATAAAAAAGGAAGGGCTTTGCAAACATTTACATTCTTACAATAAAGCAATTTTGGAAACTGCAGGGAGGCGATTGTAGAGAGCAGGGTTAATTCCATGCACAAGCCCTCATCTTATTCCAACACTAAGGGATTAATAATGAAACCAATGGATAAGTGTATTCACTCACTCTACAGCCTAGACATCCCATGAGGATTGGGGTTAGGACACAACAAGCCTAAACTGGTTTTTTTTTTCATCCAAGCAATTCCCTAAAGAATGAAAAAAATATTCTTCCTATAAAAATATGCCGGCAACAAGCAAAACACTTCCCTAAACCGCAACTATAATCCCAGACGCTCGGACACCAGGCTGAAAGTCCTTTTATTTTACTTCAAGTAAGACCATAGCTATGGACCAATTTGTATCTAAACTGGTAGCATGAAAAAAAAAATGTGATTTTAGAGAAATAGCAAATTTTCTGTAAAAAATAAAAAAAGCCGTTCCCAGGCTCACATTTTTCCACAACAGTTACCTGAAGCCGAGTGCGGTAGTGGATCAGATCAGCATACCAAAATTGATGAATGTAGAGGCAAGCACAGACACATTGAGATTTAATAAAACTGGAGCCCAGAGAATTTGGTGCAGCTTTTCAGTAGCAGTAGCGTTTATCAGCAGAAAAAAAAAAAAAAAACACACCCATTCCGTCCAAGAGCAGCTGCGTTTTGGCAGACAAAACGCTTTACGCGGCTAAACATGCCTAAATGCGCCTAAACACCGGGGAGAGTTCAACGCTTGAGCGTTAATTCATTTCAGTGGCCAGAATACGTTATCATTCTGGCCAATTGAATGAATTAACATCCAAGCGCTTGACGCTTGTAAAACCGTTAGTCACCTTTACAAGCGTCAGGGTTTTGTTTCTGCAAAAACGCTGTTGTAAGGAGTTTCAATGAGTCTTTTGTAACGTCCTGTGTGCATGAAACCTTAGGCATCAAGAATTTTTGTTGTTAAAACCTTGACATAAGACAGGGAGGAGTAGTCTCTACTCTGACTACACATGATGTGTGTGTGTGTACATTTCATCTTGAGTTATTGAGCTCTGTAAAACCTGGACGCTTTACATCAAAGAAGCAAAGGAGATACAAGAGAACATGCTATAGGGAGCCTTAAAGTGTACGTAAACCCTAACTCAGCTGGTTCAGACTGGGAAAAAATCCCGACTTCAAATTCGGGATCCACCCCAGAGTCTGGTGCAGCACTTGGCTCAGTGAAGCGCTGAGAGCCTGAGACAGCTCCCTTCCCCTCCACAGCCCTAGCTTAAAGGAGAGAGGAGAGAAAATGAGAGGAGAGGAAAGGAAATGAAATGAGGACAGGACAGGAGAGGTGTTTGTAGTCCTATCTTGTTTTGTAAAGCCCGTTCCTCCACTGATACAGTGAGTGCTGTCACCCTAGGGCAGCCTTTGTCAACCTTTTTACCCCTGAAGAACCCATTAAATAATTTTCAGGTTCTCTGGGAACCCCTACGAAAAAAAGAATTATGCCTACAGCTCATGATACTTTAGCATGATTAATATGTCAAAGAAAGTTTTAAATATAAGATTAGATAATATGGGGAACTTAGTGCCCACTCTAACATTAGTGGTCAGTTTAGTTTAGTGGAAAATTACCCCCTTGCATTGGTGATCAGTGAAGGTGGGAAATCCATCCACCATTGCTCAAAGCTCAAGGAACCCCTAGTAATCTCAGGAGGAACCCTGGTTGAGAAACCCTGCCCTAGGACATGAAGTGTGTTACAGCCACCACAGCTAAGGACTGTAAGCATTTTTGTTCTGGGGTTTGGACATACTTTAAAGTGGAACTTCACTCTCTCAGTCAACATTGACTATTTGTAATCCCTATACTGCTAGCATTAGGAATTAGATAGGAAGGTATATTATATTTACTTGTTTTAAACTTTTTTTTATTTTACATTTCTTTGGTTATTTCCTGGTTTCCATGCCAAGGCAAATTATGTCATACATTCTAGGAGTCTTCAGGAGGGGAGGAGGGGTTTTCTTAACTAAGCACATCCTCCTGCCTACATGCCTGAACTAAGGGAAGAAGGGATTCCAGGAAGTAAATGCTACATGAATCATGTGCCCTTACTCAAGGTGACCACGACCAGAAATGCTAGGGGGTGTTTTTCAAAATGATTTCTTAGCAAAATAAAGCATATAGCAACTTGAATGAATGGCTGAGTTTGCTTTGAATGTTAAAAATTAATTATTCAGCATTTTTGGCTACAATTCCACACAGGTAAGGTGCTCTATCAGCCGGCGGTATGGCGTATACCTGTGCCAGACTAGCAGTCTCAATCTGCTTCCAAACAGATACTCAAACAAATTTTGGCAACAAGGTGATATTAAAAAAATCTTTGACAACAAGGAGTAAAATGTTCCATAGCACAACCCAGGCTAATGCGTTTCAATCCAGAGGAAGACCTTATTCATAGCCTGGTTACATTAAACGGACAACAAAGATATATGGCAGCCAAACTACTCCACTCACCTCCTGAATTTGTTATGTGAATGATTATTATTGGGTATTTATTTCTATGGCAGTCAAGGTGAGTGGAGTAGTCGGGGTGCTATAAATCTGTTTTGTCTGTTTAATGCAAAGGTGTCAAACTGGCCGCCCTCTATCTGGTGTGGAACTACAAGTTCCATGAGGCATTGAAAGGCTCACAATTACAAGCATGACTCTCACAGGCAGAGGGATGATGGGACTTGTAGTTCCGCAACAGCTGGCGGGCCGTGATATTGACACCCCCGATTATGAATAAGGT